CCCCCCCTCCCCGCGCCGGGCCGCCCTCCGCTGCCCCTTGCTGCCCTCTGCCGGCCACAGTCGGGAACACAGCCCCAGCCGGCCCGCGACAGCCCAGGCTGGGACACCCGCCCCCTCCCTCCCCTCCTCCTCGTCCTCGTCCTCCTCCACCTCAGAAAGATCGGGAAACGGAGTACGCACGGAGACGTGGCTGCCCACGGTTGCGGTACGCTTGGTCGCAGTCCTGAGACCAGGAGTTTGGGGCTCGTGAGACTGAGGGTACTCGAAATGGGGGGGGCACAGCTGGGGGAGGGGGTAGAGGGAGAAAGGGGAACCGACTCTACTCCCGAGGGGATCCCAGAGTTCCAGGCACAGAACTGAGACCGGGACTTGGTGTCCCGACTCCCACGAACACCAGTGTCTGAGACCCCCCTCCCCCACCCTTCACAAGAACATTGGTCGCCTTCTGTAGAAGGGGGGGTTAGCCCTCCCGAGGCCCCTCAAGACTCTGGGCACCCCACACTGGGACACCGGGCGGCAGGCTTGACCTTCCGCAAAGTCCCGGACAAATTCACACACACACACACACACACACACACACACACTCCTCACCTCCACTTCAGCTAACTCGTTTAGGAACACACACACACACACACACACACATACACACGTGCGGGCACTGCCACGCACTCTTCCTGGGAAACACATCTCGGGGATGTCTGCCTTGCCCTTCCGTGCACCCCCAGACTTCACACATGCAAGTCCATGCACGCGATGATTGCCTCCACACGCACAAATGCACACGATCATAACCAGCTCTCCCTCCACGCGCGCGCGCGCGCACACACACTCCAGGGGCACACGCTCACGCGCGCACACCCTCACCTGCACTGAGCACGCGCATGCATGCATGACTCCCCAGGTTGGGACCCACGTCCGCGAACGCAAGCACCTTTACGCGTGCACGCGCGCACACACACACACACACACACACACACTCATACCAGTACTTCCCACCGCTCCAAGGACCCACCCCCCAACCCCTCACAGCACTTACTGGGTCCCTAAGTGCGAGGCTGGCCGGTCGACCCTTCCACGGGCGCCTAACGGCATTTGTATTCATGGGTCCCCGCCGCCCCGGGCTCGGGGGCGGGGGTGCGTGGTCCCCTTCCCTAAACGCGGCGGCGCGGGCGCCCGGAGCGCAGCGGCGCCGGGAGGGGCATGGGCGCGCGGGCCTGCACCGCCAGCCCGGTCCGCCTGCGCTCAGACTCGGGCCACTCGTGGTCCTGCGGCTCTGGCGCGAGATCCGGGCTCCGGAGGGCGGCTCATAGGTGCTGGGGCCCGCGGTGCCCGCCGGGCCTTTTGAAGTCTCTGCTGGTGGGGTGGGGAGGGAGCGGGGAGGGTCTCTGAAGGCGGCCTTTTAAATCGTGGCTGCACGCGGGCACGGTCGAGCAAGGTGTCTGGTTTCAACAAACTTGAGGAAAAGTCCCAGACCCGAGCTGGGCTGGGGAGGTGGGAGGGAGCCGCATAGCTCCGCGCGGCTTCCTGCAGGGGGCAGAGCACCCCGGGCTGCGGGGACTCACTCAGCCTTGTGGTCCTGGTGCCGGGGAGCCCGGGAGAGACGGCGGGACTCGCAGGGCTCGCGGGGCCGGCGCAGCTGCCGCCACACCCGCGCACCCCTGTGTTCAGCTGCAGCTGTCCAGTCCCAGGAATTTGGCCGGCAGTGCTGGAACACCCCCCAAAGTGTGCGCACACCACGTTCGTGCATTCTTCTGGGGGAGACCCCCACCACACACACACACACACACACACACACACACACCACCTCGGCCTTCTAAAAGCTGAGAACTCCTTGTCCAATCATAGCTGAGGTGCTTTTTTAGAGTTGCATACTTTGTGCCAGGCACATCCCGTCTTTATTTACATTTCTTTTGGGGGGGGCGTTTTGTTCACGGTTGCTGTTTTTTTGCATTTATTTCCACACTTTTAAAGGATTGCTTTAAGGGGTGGGTTTCCGTGGTGTAACCCCTTGGGACCATAAACAAACCGTTCCAACGAAATGGATACCAAGAAGCTGAAACATGTCTCCTCTCAGTGGGGTGGGAGCTAAGGAGGAGGAGGGTGGGCAATGGAGAGAGGAATGGTGGAGGAATATTGTTATAACACTCAATGTGCAGACATGAAAACGGAGGTAGGAAATATTCCGGGACAGGTGGGTTTGGGATGGATGGGAGGGAGAATGGTGGACAGGGTGACACAGATCAAGATGCTGTGAACACATAATGGGACATGTTTTATTCAAAGCCCCTTTGTACAACCGTGCAAAGATAATAAAAGAATTGCAATAAACCTAGGTATCTGGGTTACTTAGTGATGTCAGCACCCCTTTAAATACTTATCTTCATTACTGGGGGTGAGGTGGGGGATGTTGGTGTCTCTTGGTAGTTTGAATCTTTGCTTGCCTTCCCCCAGCACAGGCCCTGCCAGCCACAGTGCCAACAGCCACCTTTTGAAGGAGACACGTGGTTATCTCTATTTACCAATATCAATGCTGAGCTAAACTGGTGTGGTGGGGGCAGGAGGTGGGGCTGGAGCAGGGCTGGACTCCAAACTTCAGCATCTCAGCATGATGTGCCACTCCTCTACCTTTACCAGGTTCTCTCAGGAGACCCTCACGGGCCTCCCCAGCGTTGTGACCTTCCTCTGAGCTTGTCAGCTCTCCTGTCTACAACTGCTTTTGTAGCTCACATGATAGTGTCACCATCAGACTGTTCTCTACCTGGGACGTAGTCTATTCACATCAGCTTTCTCTGTGAAACTCCTACAGTATACAAAGCTCTGTGCAAGGATCTGGGGAAGAAGCTCTGCCACTGTGGAGGTGGGGATTGTGGACGCCAGCAAACACTCAGTGGTCACATTCTCCTGCTCTTTCCAACATTCTCCTGCATGCTCACACATGCACACACATGCACACCCGCTGTGAATTGGATTTCATGAACGACAGTTTATATGCCCATGTATAAGAGACCCTTGCAAACTGTCACATCACATGTACAGACTCTAGCAGGGGATACCCTCAGTCCTTTTGGCCTCAAGAGTAGCTCATGAGTCTTTGGGCCACTCAAGGAATAGAAACACGCTGCCAGGCCCCAGGCCTGAGCCAGCCCTAGGCAAATACAAGCAGCATCCCGGATGGCAGGGAGGGAAAATGTCTCCCAGCAGAGGGCTCAATGCCAGATGCCCAGGAAGTACTCCACAAGTGCTAAGAATAAATGAATGGCTAGATGACAGAATGAACAAATGGAGGAAAATGCACAAGTGAATGACAGAATAAATTAATAAAAGAATGAATGAATGAATGAATGGGGCAAATGGATGGCAAATACAAAATGAACAAATGATTGAATGAATGGATGGCAGAATGAATGACAGAATGAGTGAGTGGCAGAGTGAATGACAGAATGAATGGATGAATGAGAGAATGAGCAAATTGACAATGAACAAATGAATGACAGTGAAAGAATGATGGAGAATGAATGAATAACATATCAATGAATGAATGATAAAAAAATGAGAATGAATAACAGAATGAATGAATGACAGGATGAAAATAAGTGGTAGCATGAGTCATGAACCAGTGGCTCATACCTATAATCCCTCATTATTCTGGATGCTAAGATCCGAAATGTGAGATTCAAAGCCAGCTTGGGCAGAAAAGCCCTCTACGCTTTGATCTCCAATCAACCAGAAAAATGCTGGACTGGAGGCATGATTCAAGTGGTAGGGTGGCAACTCTCAGGGAAAAAGCCAAGCAAAATGCAAAGTCTTGAGTTCAAACCCCCATACCAGCACACAAATACACACACACACACACACACACACACACACACCCCAGTGATTGATGAATAAAAACATGAATAATAGGGCTGGGAAGGTGGCTCAGTGGTAGAGCCCTTGCCTTGCATGCATGAGGCCCTGGGTTTGATTCCTTAGTACCACATAAGGAGAAAAAGCCATAAGTGAAGCTATGGCTCAAGTGGTAGGGCGATAGCCTTGAGCTGAAGAGCTGAGGGACAGCACCCAGGCCCAAAGTTCAGGCCCCATGACCAACAACAACAACAAAAAGAATAATAATAATGATGATGAATGAATGAATACAAGAAAACTTCCCAAGATTAGATCAGATTCAAGGCTCTTGCCACTAGCTCTTTTTTCTGCATGACAGACTCAGCTTAGCGTACATCAGATGTCCTGGTGACTAAGACACAAGCATCACACATCATCTCATCCAACCTGTTAGCTGACATCAGATTGTCAGCAAGCAGGCAGCTGGATAGACAGCAGGGGGCCTGGCTGCCCTCAGTAGGATGTGCTCATAAGCTTCTCAGAGGATCTGCTGTTGGAAGAAACCCAAGCAAATGAGGGTGAGCACCTGGACGAGAGCAGTTGCTGAGAAGGCAATGGAACCCCAACTTACTGTCCCCCAAATTCCCTTACCAATAGACTGCCCCAGGACAAAGCATTGTGGTAGAGTCAGTGAGCTGATTCCCCGGCTGGAGAGAAAGGAAGTCTTCAGTACAGCTCCAGGACTGTCCGGGACAGCAATGTTTTCTGGGCAGGAGACCCCACTGTCTGGGCTTTGCAGACACCCCTGGCTCCTATTCCCTAGGCTAGGTTTCATCCCTCAGGGCTGGGCCAGGTAGCTGGGAAATATCCAAAACTCACTTTGCAGTGGTCAATCTGACCCAGGTCTGGAGGTCCCCAAAGAAATTCAGACCTGGGAGAACCTACAGAAACTTCCTAGTCCAACTACAGACAGGGAAACTGAGGCTCAGAGGCAGAGGGTGTGATTTTATGAAGGTTACATAATTCCTTGGAGGTGAGAAACTACTACACCTTGCCCTCAGTTATTTCCACCTGTAGAAAGAGAAGTAAATCCACTTTGTAGATGGGAGTATACGGCAAGTTAAGATCCCTGGACTCTTCCCCAGTGGTGAGACTGAAATCTTTGTACCAAATAGGCCACTGGTATATAGCTATTCAAGAGGCTGAGTTGCGAAGATCGAAGTTGAAGGTCAACCCAAGCCAAAGCAGGAGAGCCTATCTAGAAAAACAAAAAACAACAAACAACAAAAATCTAAAAGCATAAAGGTTAAGGGCTTGGCTCAGGTGGTAGAGAACTCACCTGGCAAGTGGGAAGATCTGAGTTTACTTCCCAGTAAAAACCCTAAGAATTTTTCCTTCACTTCCTCTGTGTAGTAAAGGTGAGTTTTTTTTTTTTTGTCTTCCTAAATAGAACTCTGTTAGCTTTGATCCATCCACTCAGCCAGCTGGATTCATGTTGTTGAATCTGTTACTTTCATCTTTATGTCTTGAAGGGTCAACGTGTCAATCATTGTGTGACTTTGAACCCAGGGGGTCTGAGGACTGTGGGTTGATACCACCTTGAGGTGTTGTTTACTGACAATAGTGGGAGTGATGATTTATACTTGGTCTTGTGAAGACTCCCAGGGGCTCTGCTTCACAGCAACATATGCAAAAGTGACCAGCCAGGGAGAAGAAACCCCAGGTGAAATTCCTTCTGGGGGCTTCCTGGTTTCAAGGGATTTTGTACACAGGTTAGTGGCTCCTGATCCAAGAAAGAACATGCATTTTGCTTTAGCCCTGGGACTAGTTCCTGTCCCATTCCTGTGCCTTGAGGCAGCCTTTGGTGGGAAAGCCCATCTTCAGGGAGATTGGCTGCTGTTCTTCAGTTACCTACAAAGGACTATAGGCGATGAGCAGTGATAGCCCGCCAATATGACTAACTTGTCTTCACACACACACACACACACACACACACACACACACACACACACACACACACATTATCCAAAAAAGAAATGTACTCGTTACCTGACTTATATAACTTCAGTTCCTCTGTACATCCTCTTTACAATAACAATAACTAACTAATACATAAATAATGCTAATGGAAAAATAACACACTGAAATGCTTATTTTGATCTCTGAGTTTTGGGGGACACAATATTCAACTTTTAAGCTTCTCTGTAGAACAGTTTCAAGATACTCTGAAGATGTCTTTGGCCTCGGGAGGTGGCAAAAAGAAGTAGGATCTACCCAGCGCAGCCTGTGGGCGCTAGGACCTAGTGGCAGGAAGCAGTAGAGGGAAATGTCCCTTAGCTTCCCAGGTCTCCAGGGACAGAAAGTGCTTGTCTCAGAAGGGGTCCTGAGAGGTCACCCTTGGCAGGACAAAGGCAAGGAGACCCCAGATACTAGAGATTTCAGGTCACTTTCCAGGTCTAGTTTGGCAGGTCACCTTGTCATCTGAGAATACCAGGACCTCTCTCTGTGTCTGGTCCCTTTGTCATTATCAAAAAAGAGAATCTTCCAGAGCTCCCAGCCTTCCAGTCCAAGTTGGGTATGAGTTCAAGGGCATTGTCTGTGATTCCCGTGTGTGTGTGTGTGTGTGTGTGTGTGTGTGTGTGTGTGGTTAATTGGAGATAAAATTCTCCGTCTTTCCTGCCTGGGCTACCTTTGAACTGTGACCCTCAGATCTCAGCTTCCTGAGTAGCTAGGATGATAGGCGTGATCCACTGCAGCCCTGGCTTGTGATTCCCCTTTCTTACTCATGCAAGGTCAACTGGGTCCACGGCCAGGGGCTCTATGTTCCTTAGCCCACTGGTGACTTACCAGCACTCAGATGTAGGCATCAATCCACCCACATCAGAGAGGAGAAACAGAGGTTGGCAGTTTGTCTGCATTCCC